GAAAGAGAAAATCTTTTCCACCAGGTGGCATGTCCAAACATGCCATGGCTGTTATGGACTAAGCAGCAGCATCGCAATGCGGCCATTCCTGCAATGGTGGCTCATTGGACAGAGCCTATTTTCCTCTGATAGCAGCAGCATCACTTCTGTGGAGAAACTCTTAGGCTATACCACCCAAAGTGAAGGTAACCATTCTCTTTATATGTATATATATGTGTGTATGTGTGTGTGTGTGTATATATATATATATATATATATATATATATATATATATATATATATATATATATATATATATATGAAAATACAAGCATTACAGTGCCTAATGTTGTTCACAATCTACCAAACAAGCCAGGAGCAAAAGGGGGAAGCTGTTGATATGCGCCAGAAACCCCATATAAACCCAATAACGATGGGTATCTTATATATGAGACACCCGCCGGTGTGACGCTGTATCAGGGCTCGCGCTCCGACACAGCAGCGGTCCGCGGCCAGTGCATGGGCAGAGTCTGGGCCAGCCCCGCGTGCTGATCTTGTAGCCGCCCGGAATCATTTATTTTTGGCTTCAAAATATACCGGTGGTAAGGGGTTAATGGTCCACTAACTGAATTTTCAACCCAAGATTATTGGCTTAATTGACCAACCAACTCAAAATTATACATGAAAGTGAAATGCATGGCAAGAATTGTTTGTTTTTGTTTAGGTGTGGTCAGAGGCACCAACTGTCAACAACAGACAGGTCTTGGTAACTATTAGAGTTAAGTGCCCTTGAAAATTAATAAACTTCTGCATACATTGTACCAAACTTCTAACATTTGTATACCCACCTTTAGAGTTTTCACAGAATAAATTTGTGTAGTACATAGTTCATAATGTGGATCTAGCTTATCCTTCCCAAACATTATTCTAAATGTAAAAACTATATTTACAATAGTCCATCTTCAAACTTGGGTTTCATAAAACTATTCCTAATTAACCACCAATTCTTTGGTTAGATGTAATTTAACACAATATTTAGCACTGTTTATTATCCATATCACATCACAAGTGATGTTGTGACCTCCATTCTTTGCACTCTGGTAAAGGCCAACAACCTCTAACACATCTTCCAGTAATGCAAAATTTACCTAGGTACTTTACATCCTTCATCTTGTTTGAATATGTGGTAGATATCTATTAACCACTTGGAGAGCACAAAGCACCCAGGCTATGGATTCCCTTGAAATGCAGATTACAAACTTAGGTCAGTGATTACTTACCTTTACTCTACTCGTCATTAATCTTTAATGACAAAAAATACTGTCATACATATTCTTTATGGCTTTTATATTGTTTCTCTTCGTCTCTGTGAAGTTCTACTCTAGATCACTTTCTTGAATGTTCATATGACATGCCTTTCCCGGGACGACTTTCTATTTCATTTCTCAATCCCCAATATGAAGCTTAAATTTCACCCGCACACACCAGTCTGCCAAGAATGGAGCAAAAAAGGAATTCTTAGCCATTATCAAAATTGAAGCTTGAACTTCACTTGCCCCCATTATCGCACATTCCAAGACTGGGACACGAAACACTGCCAAACTCTTCACCTTCCATATATTGTAACCCTACCCTGACCAAATATGAGGAAAATCATCAGAACAGGAGCAAACAGGGATGAGAATGAAGGGCAAGCAACAGACGAGTACTCCACTTGCAAGCACTGCTGGGCACTTCAGGGCAGGACAGCCTTCACTTGTAAGTACCCTCAACTGTTCCCTAAGAATGAGTCCTCCCCATAAGGGAAAGAGAAAGACTGAGGCAACAAGAAACAGGTAAAAATCCGGGCAAGAGAGCCTGGACAGGAGGGCCGCCAGGGCGCCTCCCTCACATACCCTGCCGGGCACTTAAGGGCAGGACCTCAGCCTCCTATTCTACCTGGGATTCCTACTCGTTCCTGATTTTCCTATTTCCGAAATCCCGTCTCGCCTCCTCCTCTAACTCTCTGACGTCTAAGGCATTCCTCTCCTTTTGAAATCCTCCAGATATCCCTTAATAAGGAGCTCCTGCAGGATCTCAAGGGACAGCGATTAGTCATAGATATTCAACAGGAACACCTGTCAAAGAGATATAAACACCTGTTCTTCGCCTTAGTCTCGCCCTAAATCGCCCCTAGGGTTCCCAGGGAAGGCATCTAGGCCCACTATGGCATCTCGCGGCATGAAGGAGATCGAGACTTGCCCCTCGAGACGTAGAGAAACAAAAAAAATAAAACCAAAATCTCTCCCCTTTTTCGAAGATGTTTGCGTTCGAGGGCGAACCTCGTCCTCCTCTCTCTCTCTTCTCCTTCTCCCTCTTCCCTCTCCTTGTTATCACTCACTTGCCGCGTTTCCTGTCACATCATCCACTGCTCAGCGTCAGGGTTTCGTCTCCAGGCATCAAAGGAGCTTTAAAAAGGGCGAAATAGCCGAAGAACAAGGCATCCTCGGCGACAACACGTAAATATGGCCGAGGTACCGCA